TCAAAGCAAGAGCGACACCTGCCCCCTCTTTCCTCTTTCACGTTGACAACATTTTTTAGTTTTATTGATTGTCAAAGCGCAGTTTTGATGTTTTCTTTTATTTGTTGTAAAAACAGATGGTTAACAAATGTTAGAACGCTATTCTTTGCTAAAATATAAATATATATTTTATGTCGCTAAACAGTTTGTTAGGTTCTTCTCTTGTGAGCGTGTTCCACTGGACCGCCACCCCCCCTCAGGTCCAGCTAAACGTTGAGCAGGAGCTGCAGGATCATGTTTCCAACTGCGCTTCAAACAGCTGTGCACGGCAAACGTGCTCATTAGCCATTAATCCTGACTTCCTCATTTTGATTTTAAAACATCAGCACAAATTGTTTTATTAATTTTTGTTTTGTAGGTGAAAGCGTTTTATATAGCACTCCTGAGTTAAAATGTTGCTGATCAGTTTGAATTTATTATTATTTATTGATTGTATTTAATTAGATTGTTCAGTATCAGATGGTCGTAAATGTTTAGTTTAAATAAGGATAGATTTTTTTTATTTCAGGCAAATTGATGCACTTTAAGCTTTTTCTGTTACAGACTATAAAGCAATGTTAATAATTTTTGTTGTAAGTTGATAGACAAGCGATACTATTTACAGTCGCGGCGGAGCGCTGGGGGGCGCGAGATGTTTACTTCTTCTTAGTGGGGGCGTAACAGAAAATAATTGAGAAGCACTGCACCAACTAAACCCTGTCAAAGCTGCCTCTGCTTTCCTTTATATAAAAACAACTACATCCTCAAGTTATCGCCTCCATTCTGTTCCATAATTATAATAATGAACAGAGATGAGATTTTGCTTGAAGATTGACAGACTAAAATATATTTACAAAGAATGAGACAACTTAAATTAATTTTTGAAATATTATAACATGGTGCAAACGACAGTAAAGAATATCTGAATCTCTTTTTAAAGCCTTGCCTGCTAATAAACAGCAAAGCATCGGCGTGACGTAATAAGGTCCTGTTCGCAGTGTTCGGGTTATTTTGGGCCTCCATCTTGTTGTAGCTCCAAAATTCACGGTTGAAACCCGTGCCTTTGTGTAAAACGTTTTTCTCTGCAAAACGAAGCTGAGAACTTGTTTACTGATTTCTTTTATTTAAAGCTTTTTTGTATAAAATGCTATGCTGAAGAGCTCAAACCACACCGAGCGTCCGCCAGTTTTAGAACCGAAGAGACAGCTCATGTCACGTCAAGGGGCCTCCCTCCCGTTTTTCTTAAAGAGACACACTACTCCCTCACTATCCATCCTTCAGTTCAAACGGTCTTAAAACTTCCATCCAGTGGTCAAAAAAGGTACTACACACAAATTAACCAACATTTCTTCTTAAATTTGACAGTAATGACTAATTATTGTCAAATTTCAAACAATATTATCGTTTATCGCGATAATTTCTGAGACAATTAATCTCCCAGCAAAATGTGTTATCGTGACAGGCCTAGTGCCAAATCACAACTGAAGTCGTCTCAGGGCACTGAACCGAAACAAACAAAAAAAAAAACATGTAAATCTCTTAGTCTTTACATAATGCCATTTTGTCAATGGACTTTCCAGGGTGGGATGCTTTTTTCAGTACAACACCAGCAGACCCCGAAACGAACCAGTCTAAATATTATTACATATTCTCTGCTAACTTACAGACTAAATTTATAGGCAACGCACTTGCTCGATCTGCTAGTGCTCAGATGACATGTTGATGATGATCCTCAACTACTACCTCAACAAATTTCAGCTCGGTGTCTGTGAAATCTTTTAGCCACTTTGCATTTAATTAGGTTCTTCATCTACGACCACCATCTTGAATTGGGCTTTCTCCAAAAGCCAATCAGCTGTAGATGGATCTAAATCTGACCACTGTTTCATGAGATATTTTGCTAACAGACAAACAAAGACCTTATTTTTCGTCTTAATTTATTTAACACGTTAGATGTTCACAAGGAGTCTGTAATAAACTTTTAAAGACGTGTACATCAGAGATGAACCACTGAATTAAAGGCAGGCCCTGATTTATAAACACATTACTCAGGTGACCTCTAGTTTAAACGTACAAAGAACAACACGACTACCTTTTTATTTTTAGCTGCAGTCTTATCAGTTTATAAAGTCTCTACATTCCCATGACATTTTTGGGACTTGGGTAAATAAATGAAGCAAACGTTTTCTGTTCAAGTAAATATTTCAGCCGTCGTGCCGAGTGTTGACGTAACGCTTTCTGTTGAACACACGTGAACACCAGGTTTACGCAGGAACATTTGTTCTGCGTTCTAAATTTTGTTTTTTTTGCTGAGTTTTTAAACAGGATTTAAAAATCCATCAAATCGTATGATCCTACGACAAACAACATTTCTTAGTCATTTTCGGCGGTTGAAACGAGTTTTCTCCGACTCTCCCTGAGAGACACCGTGAGGAGATCAGTGATCAGGACAGACGAGGAGCATCGGCTCCGAGTCTCTTAAAGGAGAACCCAGTACCCTGCAGAGAAACCTCCAGGGGACATCCTGACCAGATGCTCGAACCACCTCACCTGGCTCGGGCATTTGGTGAGGTCGCCCCCTGGACGCCTCCCTAGGGATCCTTTACGGACATGTCCATCTGGGGGTAGACCTGGGTATGGTCCCAGGACACGGTGCCGTGACGTGCTGCACATATTTCAAACTGTAATATGTTTTGGGTTGACCTTCACGTGTCCTCTCAGGCCCAGTACTACGGGGTGATCAGTATCGGAACTCCTCCCCAGGACTTCACCGTGCTGTTTGACACCGGCTCCTCCAACCTCTGGGTCCCCTCCATCCACTGCTCCTTCTTTGACATAGCCTGCTGTGAGTTCACGTTCCACCATGACTACGAGTTTAACTTTTGTACCGAGTCTGTTGTTATTTAAACCTAACGGAGTCGTTTCATTCAAAATAACTCGTCCGTCCCTCGTTTATAAATCTGTAAACTGGCTGGGTGTTGATTTGTGGTCCAGTCAGACGTTCTTCATGACTTGATCATTTTCACCAGTCTAAGTCTGGACTGAGAGTCTGCTCTGTTCAGGGGTCCATCACAAGTACAACTCCAAGAAGTCGAGCACGTACGCTCAGAACGGCACCACGTTCTCCATCCAGTACGGCAGAGGCAGCTTGTCTGGTTTCATCAGTGGGGACACGGTCTCCGTGAGTTTCACCACCTTCTGATCCGATCAGGACTCTTTGTTTCTCTCCACCGACAGCCTTCTTTATCTCTTTACCTCTTTATCTCTTTATCTCTTTATCTCTTTACCTCTGCAGATTGCAGGCCTGTCTGTGACCGGTCAGCAGTTCGGTGAAGCTGTGAAGCAGCCCGGCATCACCTTTGCCGTTGCCCGGTTTGACGGGGTCCTGGGGATGGCGTACCCTTCCATTTCAGTAGCTAAAGTCACCCCGGTGTTTGACACGGCCATGGCTGCCAAGCTGCTGCCTCAGAACCTTTTCTCTGTTTATATAAGCAGGTGGGTTTAAGAAAAGCTGTGGGGGGATTCAGTTGTTAAAGAAATTGCTAAGTTTTTGGTTGTTTTGCTAACACAACTTTTCTCTGATTGCTCTCAGAGACCCGGCAGCAGCACTGGGAGGAGAGCTGGTTCTGGGTGGGATCGACCCAGAGTACTACACCGGAGACCTGCATTATTTTAACGTGACAAGGAAGGCCTACTGGCAGATCAGTATGGACAGGTGTGGGGAGAAAACGCACACACGTCCTGTTCACTTTTACACACAAGTCTTTTTACCAAAGTGGAAAATATTCTCGTCTCTTGAATGGCGCATAAAGACGACTTAAGTTTGACTTAAACAACAAAGTCCATGCTAAATTTGACTTGTTTTTGAGTTGTGTTTTTTTCTTTTTTAATTATTTATTATTTTTGAGTTACGTTTTTTTTTCTTTTTTTTTTTGTTACATTTTTGTCTTTTTTTGTTTCGATTTTGCTTTTTTCTTTAGTTACGTTTTTTCCTTTTTTGTTACATTTTTTTACCTTCTTTTTTTTAGTTACCATTTAGCTTTTTTTGTGAGTTATGATTTTGCTTCTTTTTTTTTGAGTTAGGGTTTTTTTTGTTTGTTTTTGTTTTTTTGGGTTATGCTTTTTCTTCCTTTTTTTTTTTTGGAGTTACGATTTTATTGGTTTTTGAGGGGGTTACGATTTACCTTTTTGTTTAATGTTTTTTGCTTTTTTTTTTAGTTACGTATTTTTTTATGGGGGGGCTATGTTTTTGCTTTTTTTTAGAGTTACGATTTTGCTTTCTTTTTTTAACAGTTATGTTTGTTTGTTTTTTCTGAGTTACGATTTAGCTTTTTTTGGTTAGATTTTTGCTTTATTTCACAATACATTTTGGGGATTTTTCACGATAATTTTTGGAGTTTTTCAAGTTAGGTTTTATTTTTTATATATACGTGTATAATAAAAAATGTAATTACAAAAAAAAGGAACAATTTATCGGTAACTGTAAAAAATGCTAATATTAAATAAACAACAGTGAACCCTCGTTTTTCACGGGGGTTACGTTCCAAAAAGAACCCGTGATAGGCGAAATCCGTGAAGTAGTAACCTTTATTTTTTTTTACAATTATTATACAATGAAATACTCCATAATACATTCAAACCAAAGAACAAAACATTTTTACAGGCCCAAGCATTTTTTTTAACAAATAAAAGTACTGTATAAACGTTTTTTTACAAATAACTACTGTACTGGAGAGACTGTTTAGCCAATCAGAATGCAGAACACAATGCACGATGCAAATCCGTGAAGCAGCGAGACCGTGAAAGGTGAACTGTGTTATAGCCAGGGGTCACTATATATATATTACATTTTATTTTTATAAAGTATTATTATTATTATTTTTTTTAATTAGGTTTTTGCTTTTTGTCATGTTACATTTCTGCGCTCACTGACTACGGTCACCACTTAGAATATCCTGTTTTTAAACCAGAACATCACTTGAATAAACACCCAGACTCTCTGATTTTAAAATGTTGCACTGATTTGAGTTTTTCCCAGACGTTACATCGACATTAAACCGTCACCAGTTGTTTGACACAAACTGACGCCTCCTGTTTCTTCTCTGACCTGCTCTGCAGAGTCGATGTTGGAAACCAGCTGACTCTCTGCAAAGCCGGTTGCCAGGCGATCGTTGACACGGGAACATCCCTGATGGTCGGCCCGGCAGCTGAAATCAAAGCGCTCCACAAAGCCATCGGCGCTCTGCCCCTGGTCATGGGAGAGGTAAACCTGCAGCGTGTTTTTTAAAAGCGTCTCCGTTTGCTTTTTGACATTTGGCTCATGTCAGGAGGTTTTTCTGCTCTCCTCCAGTACTTCGTTAACTGCAGCAAGATCCCGTCTCTTCCTGTCGTGTCCTTCAACATCGGAGGGAAGATGTTTAACCTGACGGGAGAGGATTATATCCTGAAGGTATGAGTTGGTCAACACTCCACTTCACTCGCTGTAACCTCAGACTCCGAACTAATCACCTCTGAGAAATATTAATGTAAGAGAGAACACAACACCAAGCCTGTCAGCGCACTAACACACACAGAGGTCACATGAAGGACACACCACGCTGACCTCTGACCTCTGGAGAAGTGCGTGTCACTGTGGTCGGAACTCTTTCTCCTACATGACGCTGTTCAAAGAGCTATTGTACCTACAGCAGGTAAGATATTAACCGTTGGAGCTATGGTGAAAACACTTTCCTTCTAAAGCACTTGAACCATTGCTGGTTTGGACCGTTGTCTCTGGAGCAACCTTGTTGCTGAATGTGGCAATGCTTGGTTGACCAACGAGTCACAGAGGAGTAAAAACCGTTCTTCTGTGGTGTGAACCGTTACGGTTACTCAGACCGTCCGTGTGCTTTTTAAACCTTTAGAGCTTTGCACAACTTTCCTGTTCTGACTGAGACGGTTGCATCGTCGATGGTGAACGACACGTGGAGTTGAGGCAGGAAACATTTCCTAGTCATAACATATAAATGTCTAAAAACAAAAGTAGAGCTCATTTTTTTAAACAAAATAATTTACGGTTTATATCTTTTATCTAGGAGGTGGTCAGTCGTGTAACCCTGAGGCTGCAGGTTCGAGCCCAGGTTGTGTCAGGAAACGCATCGTACGTGAAACAAATGTTAAACCTTTGCTGTGAACTCGCTCTGTGGAGACCCCTGCAGAAGGAGCAGCTGAAAGAATATACCGTATTTTCCACCATAAACGTGGCTCCGCCCTATAAGTTGCATGAGTCCATATTTGTCTAATAAAGTGGGAAAATCCATAAATAGGTCGCATCTTTTATGCGTCACCGCTGACGCGTTGCGTTTGTTAGGCGTCATCACTGACAACCCGGGAATGTGGGCCGGTGTTGTGCCAAACGGCGGCCGCGGGGGGGGCGTGCACGAGAGGAATTAAACAAGAATTTAACAAGATTAACACTTAAAAACAATTGTGTTTGCTCGAGTTTATAGTAAAGGTGTGTCACAGTTGAACTTTTACTTCATAAATGCACTTTAATGGTCAAATTCGCTGCATTTCATCGGGGCGGTGCAACACGATGAAGCTGATTTGATGGTTGTTCCAGGTGAGCTGGATGAAGGTGGCAGGCAGCGGCAAGCTGACTGTGTCATTAATAGCCATTTTTACCTATTACACGAGACAACGGCATGCCATACAACTCTGGTGCCTTCTAGCGGCTGAAAATAGTAATGGTCCTCAGCCTTAATTTGGTTTATAAATATGGAAAAAAAATCCATAAATATGTCGCTTTGGCGTATAAGTCTCAGGGCATGCAAATCATGCAAAAAAACGCGACTTATAGGCCAAAAAATACGGTATATCTAATTTAAGTTTACAGTTTATAAGATTTTGAGTCTCGTTTATTGCAGGGGTTACGTTCCAGACACCCCCACCCCCGCCGCAGTAATGGAAAATCCACGAAGTAGCAACGTTATATTTATTTTAGTGTTTAAATATATCTTAAGGCTGTAGAAACCCTTCCCTCACTCTTGCAATGTTCTAAATTTTAAAACCTACTATTGTTAACAACATACGTACAGTACTGTATATGTAGATACGCAGTTTTACTCACCAGCTCTGCAGAACAGCAGCAGCTCGGTTCCGGTCTGACTCGGTTCCGTTTCGGCAGACCTACCCTGCTGGTTCCAGTCGGCTCTCTGGCTCAGGGTAGTCCCAGTGGGCTCTGGAGAGAACGCCGGGTGGCGCCTTCCTGCTCGAAAGGCCTCGTGTGCCGGCGGGCAGCACTCAGATTCACTGATGAGTCTGGAGGTCTGGTTCTGGTCCGGCTCCCGGTGGGTTCTGTGCAGCTCTCTGCATCTGCTGGGCGCCGAAGTCACTTTGAATAAGGACCGAGCTTTTTCCAGTCAGATCAAAACTTTCCCTCTACGTATTTCAGCAGAAGGAAACAGGGCTTCTGGGCGGGGCACTGTTGGCTGCTGGGAAATGTAGTCCTTATGAGCGGGGATACAGTAGAGGCTTAGAGAGAAAACTACAAAATGGTGGCGCCTGTCCGAAGTATTTAATTTTTTTGTTTACTGTACAGTATCCAGTACTGTCCCAGTCACGTGAGTAGTATTAAAGTTGACAGTCATGTGATCTGTACAATCTTACTTGGAAGAACCATGAACGAGCGAGTCCGCCAAAGTAGAACTGTGCAGTAGCGAGGGACTACTATAATGAATACAGATACCCACATATGCTTTCAAGTACAAAAAGTACATTTCAGCTTAATTATATCCTCTTTAAAGCATTATTTCTGCCCAAGGATGTGTTTTGGATCATAATGTAGTCATTAGATGATGTATGAATATGTAAGAGTGTAAATAAAGGCCAAGTAAACTCTTTACTCCTGCTTGAGGAGAAATGCAGTTCTCACCCGTTTTAATCAGTTTATCACTGTAGCACCTTTCATCCCAATCGGATGCAACTCAAAGAGCTTTACAGCAGAGAAAGGAGAAGAAGCTCTCCCAAACTGAACAGACAGGCTTTTGGTCTACGTTTAAAAGTATCTAGATTATGGACTCAGTCCCTCCAGCAGGCCGTTCCAGTCTCGGCGCGTAGCTACTAAAATCAGAATCAACAAAAGTTCTGTGCTCTGCTCTAAAGGGTCTTGAAAACCAGTAAAATAATTTTAAATCTTAAAATGAACAGGCAGCCATTTAAAAAACAGGACTAATGTGAGCTCTTAAGAGGATTTATGTATTTATTTACATACAAAGTAGTTCCAGTTAGCTTGATGTTCAGCCTCAGATTGGGTCCAAACTGTAAATGTTTCTAACTTTTGTTGCATCAGGTTGTTGTTTTTTTTGACCCAGTTACCAGTTACATGTGGGTTTGTGGTCAGGATCATTAAGACACTGATTAGGTAGCTGTTGTTTTTGCCCAACTAAATTTTGGTGTCTCCTATTTTGAATGCAGGAGACTCAGATGGGCGTGCCCATCTGTCTGTCCGGCTTCATGGCCATGGACATCCCACCTCCTGCTGGGCCGCTCTGGATTCTGGGAGATGTATTCATTGGGAAGTACTACACCGTGTTCGACAGGAGTGCTGATCGAGTTGGGTTTGCCGCTGCCAAGTCGTAAAATTGGACATTACAAAAAAAAAAATCAAAACGTGCTGCAGTTCTCCTTCCACGCAGTAATTAGACGTAAAGTAGTTCCTTCATTGCAAGAACTGCTGCCGTCTCTCTGCTCTCTCAGCTTCAAGAAGCTGGTTTATAAATTAATATGAAAAGTTATACGAATATTAAATATGAGGGGTGTTGATGTGCTCTGCTACTGATCAGATTGTTTTATTTCTTTTTGTTGCACTTTTATGTGAAGCTGTTTTATGTAATTGAAGTTTAACATTTGATACGGCAGATTGTAGCTTTGCATTTTGGAATGAAGAATCAACAAGCATGCCTTTCGTTTAAAGGAAAAGTTTAGACAGTTTGAAGTGGGACTCCACTAAACAAATTGAGTAATAATTATCTTACCTGTTGCAGATAACCACTTTTGTTTGGAGAAATAGTTTATTTCCTACCAGACTGACGAGCTAACAGCTAAACCAGACATGACCAAGACTAAAGTACTCATACGTTAACTTCAGATTAAATTAATAAAAGTGATATTACTCCAGGAAGTACAGCTAGCTGCCTCTACTGTACCTGCTTACAAATAGAATCTATGTGAATTAACTCTAGAATCGCCTATCACCTTTGTAGATCAGTTTTAAACGTAAATCTCGTGCAGTTGAACAATTTCTCCAAACTGAAGACATATCTGAGACAGGTAAGATATTTATTGTTCATAACTTTTTTTTTTATATATACAGAAGTCCACTTCATGTCTGAACTAGCACTTAAAATGAACCTCTGTTTTAGTTTTTAGTAAGTTTTAAAATCACTGCAGCTGATTTTCTATTTAAAACAAAACAAATCATGTTTGTCTTAGCATGCTAACACAAACTTATGACCACAATCTGAATAAAACTCAATAAAACCACGTCACGTTTTGGATGGACTCTTTATTAGACTTGAGTTTCAGGCATTTTTCCCCCTTAAAAGAAAAACGGAAACCTGAATATCATTATTAACATTTAGTCGTACAAAGTGACACAATGTTCCAAGTCCAGAGCTGAATTAAAAAGTCAGAGGTAAGAGCTCACATGCATCACAGCAACTGACTCATAACCTTTAACGCCGAGGTCCAGATCTACGTTGGGTTTTATTTCACGACGGTGGAAATGTGGCACAGTGACGCCTCGGATAAATGTGTAACATCCAGAGCAAACGAAGCGCTGCATCAGTGACAGTAAATATACACCTCTGTAGAATAAATAGAAAAATAGTCACCTGTTTTTATTCTTTCCTGATCTTAATCATCAGTATTAACTAATAAACTATAAAGAACTAAAATATGTTCATAATTTACACAAACACTGCTTTGGGAAGAAGATAGTTACTCAGGATACTCCCCCGAACTCTAAGGCTAAATGTCAACAAAAAGCAGCTGTGAGACAAAATAAACATGGACTGATTTAATTCGACTCTTTGAATTAAGATTACACCGATGAAGGTCGCTCGAACACAAGACTTTGGCTAAATTAGCTGAAAGATTAAAAAAAAAAAAAACAGTTTTTAAATATCGCCTGTAACCTACGACACAAGCTGAGCCGGTCAGATCTGATGATCAGCTGGTTTGGCCGACACGACATCAATCTGCACCCTAATCCACGCCTGGCACAGATCAGTTAATCTGGGTTTAACGGTGGAAGAAAACCTCCCTGCAGGTCGATTTACTACAAAAATGTGTTGAGCAGAAACAACCGTTTGCTGCAAATGTTCAGGTCCCACCTAGAGAAGTGCAAACTGAAGGTTTTTAACCAAAGTGGGGCAAGTTGTGAACACTTCCAGTGAGGTTACACACGACACCGACTGGTTAAAGGGATACTTCCTGTCTTGTGTAGTGGGGCTCTGTGGAAAGTTATGAACAAGCAACATCTTACCTGTTGCTGATGGCTCTTTGAACGACCTCAGACTAGCTGTTGGGGACGGGCATTGTTCTTCAAACATTGAGTAGTTGGAAAAAAGGTGAATTTGAAGAACAGACGCAAACGTTGCAACCTTTATTTATTTGTTGCACCGACATCTAATAATGACAAAGCGAGTTGTTTTCTACGGTGCTTTTTACAAAAACACCCACCACTAGGCCTGTCACGATAATAAATTTTACTGGGCAAATAACCGTCTCAGAAATTATTGAGATAAACAATAATATGGTTTGAAATTTGACAATAATTAGTTATTGTCAAACTTAAGAAGAAAAGTTGGTTGATTTTAGTGTGTAGTACCTGTTTTGACCACTAGATGACAGCATAAGACTGAACCGAAGGATGGCTAGTGAGGGAGCGAGCAGCGTGTCTCTTTAAGAAAAACAGGAGTTAAAATGGATTTTAAAGAGAAAGGGAGGGGTCAGTGAAGAGCACCAGAGTTGATTTTGTCATCCAGTGTCTTCAGAAGAAAGAGAGACACGAAGAAAACGATAAAGCCGATAAATGAAAATGAGGTTGATAATTTTCATTTATCATGCGATTGATTGATTGATTTGTTTATTGCGACAGGCCTACCACCGCTGCCCCCATGCTGATAGAAAGAAAAGCTTGAAAAGTCAGTTCCTGCCATTGTAGTTTATTTTGAAAGGATTATAAAGTGGAATCCATGGTCACAGGTGAGCTCAGCTTTACCATCATAATACATGCCCCCCCCCCCCTCCACATTGATATGTTGAACAGGTAAAAATAAATCTAAAGCTCTCAAGCTAGCAGAGTTAGCAGCACATGTCTCTGTACCTGAAGCCTTTGAATCAGAGGGTTTTCAGCTGCAGGACTGGGGTGAGCGAACTATCATTTTGAAGGCTACAACACAAAACTGGGAAATGTTGTAATTTATACAGCAGCAGCTGAGATTAACCCCAATAAAACAGATTTCTCTGCTTTGAAACAGTTTGTCGTGCTACATTAATGAGCCCTGCAGGAGTCAAAGAACAAGTTGGTCTCATGTTCAAAATGGTGGCTGGGATGTGGATGGGAGAGAATGGGAAGATGCTGAAAAAAAAAACAAGTTCTTACAAATTTGATGGTTTTTTTGTAAAAACACACGTCCCTACTAACAATTCTCGTTTCTGTTGGATGTAAATCACTGCTTTAAATTGAGCTCGTTCTCAAAGTCATATTTAGGCGAGATGTTTGTAGCCTTTCCACAGACTTCCACTTTAAAAGAGCTGAACTTTAATTTAGCAGCTTGGAATTGCGCAGTGAAGCAACAAATGTGAGTTCTGGTTCTGGAGAAGAAACCTCCATTTTAGAACAAACAAAGAGCCGTTCTGTGTCCCACCATCACGTGGACACGATTTCCACTCGGTGAAATGAGGACGTTGATTTGTTGGAATTCCGAACAGCCAGAAAATAAAAATCAAGTTTTTCCTGTTTTCCATATTTATTAACTAAGAGGACACTTTTCTTTTGAAATCAGAACCTGTTCAACACGTGGAGCCACGATCTTAATAAAAATCTGATTTACAAGTGGAGGTTTTAAAGCAAAAACAGATTTAGATCAACGCTGCTTAAAGCTGATGGAGAATTTATTAACCTTTAGGACGGGTATTCAGACATTCGTTATATTTTATCTCTTGATGCTGTGACACAAATCCATCTAAAAAAAATAAATCTTACGTTTTGACGAACTGCATTTCATGAATACACTGGCTGTAATTAGTTACTCCACTTCCTTCTAGATTAAAATATTTGGGTCAGCTCCAACATGAAACTCGTGTTTACGTACGGATGTTTTCAGGGAGGCAGTAAAAAGGTTTTCCATGCACGAGTCACGAGTGTACCGGAGAATCGGGCTCAGACCTGCGGCTCTGCAGTCCTCAGCAGCCCCTCGGGCTCCGACAGGGCGCAGTACAGCGTGTACCCCAGCTCGTCCACTTCCTGTTCCGTCAGCTCACAGAAGAGGTTCACCTTGGGGCTGAGGGCGCACGGCAGCCTCCCAGCCTCCAGGTGCTCCACCAGTGTCCGCAGCAGCTGAAGGAAGCGGTCGGCCAGCGCCTCCTGGGTCCAGTCCCCCTCCTTCTCGCTCAGCAGCAGGATGGCGTTGGTGAGCTGGCTGGCGTTGAGTCGGCTCAGAGCCGGGGTGAGCTTGCACACGGCCTTCGCCACCTTCAGGCAGGCGCAGCGGCAGCCCCCGTCCTCCTGATCCAGCGCCCTGAGGCGCGCCGTCTCGGCCACGCGGAAGCTCTGCCGCCACAGGTTCTCGTGGCGCTCCGCAGCGAGCCGGTGCGGCTTGGCGATCAGCGAGGTTCCGTCCTCCATCACGAGCAAAGGCAGGAAGTCCACGTAGAGCCTGCGGTTGGTCTCGTACTGAACCTCCAGGGTCAGCGTCTCCGAGGGAACCACAGGACGGATGATGTAATCCAGGACGCTCCCGATGGCCGGCCAGTTGATGGAGCCGGCAACCAGCTTGTCGAAGACCTCGAGGACCACTTTGGGGGAGAGGTAACCTCCGACCATGCAGCGGTCCCAGTAGCTGCTGTTCCGTGGGAAATACTCCAGGTTCTCCCTGCGGAGCAGCCAGAACCCTGGGAGGTTCATGATGGTGTCCTCTCCTGGAATGGACGACCACAGATTCTTCTCCAGGACGAGAGGAACCATCAGCTGGGCGTGGTCAGCTGTCACCACCTGAGGGCGCGGAGGAAAATAATAAAACATTTTAAATTAAGTCGTAGCTTTCTTTAAAAGGGATGCACACTGACTTTCTTAATCTGAGATTAAATTAAGACGAGAAGTGAGAGAATTGTACTGGTTTTGGTTAAAACCCTGAAAATAATGTGGTATCACAAGATAAGCAACAGTTAGAAGATGTTTTGATGATGATGCTCAGCTACCACCACACATAAATTTTACCACAGTGTCTGTTAAACTGAATTGTAGCCGTGTGTGTTTTCTAAGGCCCTATTTACACAGACATGGTGGGGAAACGTAGTTTTTTTCGTATGTTAATTAGAGGAAAACATCCGCGTTGACACGGATGAATTTTGTGTTTACATGCAACCGAAGGAATCCACTTCCTGAATCCACTGTAGTTTTCATGCCGGGTCATTAGTTGGCGCTGTGAATTTTGTACATTCACCTAATGCACATGCGTGCTCCTTTCCTCGGGCCTGAAATCTCAGCTGACAACAACTTAACAAGTTAAAGTTGGATTTTGGATAAGAGTCGACAGAATTGACGCCAAGCGTGACCGCTTCATCCAACAGCTCCACACCGGTCGCTGAGCGGACCAGAACAGACGAGGATAATGTCGGACTTTCTACTCCGTGATAATCAGTAGCTGGTTTACAGCAGGTAAATCAACGTTCTTAATAATATTTTTTGTGTTTGCTTCGATTACACAACAACTGAGTTTTTATTTAAATTTTTCCTGAGAGAAGAAGCTGTCCTCCCACCAGAGGTGGACCGGTTCTGAACGAGTCTCAACCCAGGTTCGGTGCCGGAGGACGTGGAAGAGAGAGATGTTGGACAAACTATTTATTTTAAAATCCCCTCAATTCTTTTTTCCAATCCACTGAATATTTTAAGCTGCATTAAGCAAAGAAGTGACAGCCTGAACGAGCCAGATGAACAACATGGGACCAGTATATCCAGGATGACAACAGAGGAAGAGTCCAGTTCATTAATGTAGTTACAGTTCGGTTAACATGTTTTTAATAGTGTGTTCAGTTTAATCATCAGTGTTTGTGTGACATACAGTTTGTGGTGTTGAATAAATAAATAAAAATTAAACCTGATGTCTTCATTTTCAACTTTAGCAACATGCAACATGTCTTGCATGAGTCCAGATAACTTCATTACATCTCCCACACAAACATAAATACTGTTAATTATTGTTAAACTGTTATTATTTAGCACATTTAGTATGTTAGTACGGCCCGACGCATGAAATGTGTAAACGAGAGATGCAGGTAAGAGAGCGAGTAAAAGAACTTTGAGTTTGACTTTGAAAGACTGTCTTTATTATAGTTTTTATTTTTATTTTATTTTAAACAGTATTTATGTTTAACAAAGTGAAGAAAACCTTTTTTTGTAAAAATAGTATTTGTTTAGTGAAGTGAAGAAAGACTATGTTTTATATAAAGAAAGTATTTATGATACTGAAGTTAAGAAATACTACTTTATTTTTTATAAAAAGTATTTATGTTCAATGGAGTCAAGAAAGATCTTTTTTTTTTTTTATATGTATTTTTTTCCTGAAATAGTTTTAAAGTTCAACTTTATGTCAGGAGCTGCATTGTTGATGTCACCATTAAAATGCACTTTCAATAAAGTATTGACAAAGCTCAATGTAATTTTTATGTTGAGGTGGTGGAGGGTTGTTAGCAGCTGCTGAAAGTAACTAATAAAGTAACTTGTAATCTAACTTAGTTACTTTCCAAATCAAGTAATCAGTAACTTAACTAAGTTACTTTTTCAATGTAACTATGCCACCACTGAAGTCTGAACACTACATATACACATTAAAATTATGTAGATTTAAGAGTTTAGAACATTGCACAAGTGAGTTTATAAAGCCTTAAAATATATAAACACTAAAATAAATATAACGTTTCTACTTAGCGATTCTTCACTTATCGCTGGGGGGTGTGAAACGTAACCCCCGCGATAAACGAGGGACTACTGTATTTTAAATACGCGTCTCCAGGCAGAAGCATGTTTGAAGGAGTTCTCTCATTGGTTAGGACTTCACGGTCAGGAGAGAAGGCTGAGCTCAGTCAGAGGGGCTCCAGGTCGTGTGCGACCAGTAACTGACAGGAAAATAACCAATCACAATGCTGATGTGCAGTGGGTGGGACCAAAACGCAGGACTCTGAGCCTTCAGGAAGGCCCTGGAAGGAGGTTTTTTATTTTATTTTATGACCTGTAAAGATTTGTGCATTCACTCGCAACCTGTAAATTTGAAAATCCACACAGAAATTGTAGTTGCTCTAAAAGATTATGTTTAAATATGCCATGCAGGTTTACATACAGTAGATCATTTTTGATATTACAGTTGCATTTTGGTTTTATTGCGTGATACATTTTTACATGAACAGTCAGTTCTGTGGCTTACTCTCAAGTTGGAGTTGAATGTCAGCCTTCCTTACCTGAAGGTCATCGTACAAGCTGCCGCTCAGGTACATCTCTCGGAGCGGCATGTCCGGCAGTTTGGCATGAAGGAACACCCTGAGCTCAGCGCAGATGTCCAGAGCCGCCTTTCTGGCTGCGGCCTGCTCCTCAGCGGGGATGCTGACGCTGCTCTGGTAGAACGCCCACAGACGCTCCTGCAGGGACAGGCGCATCCGTGCCCGCAGCAGGTCAGACTGAGCGGCGGCGCCTCTTCCCACAGCAGAGCGCCCCATGGCTCTCCGCTGACAGTCTGAGGAGTTACAGATGGTTTTAGAGAACATGCAGCTGAATTTGAATCAAGTTTCTTCTACAACTTTCAAAGTGGAGGCAGAGGACAGATTTTACAAAAGCCGGGGGTTGAACAGGTCTGTTATCAGGACCATCTATGGATGCGTTCTGCTTCCATCAGAGAATCACAGGATTTATGTTCACTTGGAGAGAAAAACAACGAGAAGCATCAGCACAATAATTAGCTTTTGCTCAGCAACAGACCAGCAAACTAAACCGATCGTTTCTTGAAGAGCGAGCCAGATTGGAGATCCAAACAAACCGGAATATGAAAAAACCCTGGACTCCCGGCCCACAGACCAAATCAATAGTATAACGTGTAGTTAACGTGTGCAGGATGTTGCTTGATCCTGGCATTAGCAGTGAGAATACATTGATATGTTGAGGCAACCCTCTTCACTTTAAAGTTAGGTTTATACAGTCGCCGACAGCTATGATGCCAGATTCAAGGGTTTGAAGCCAGTGGTGGCTGTTGACCAAATAAAATCTCGAGCAGGATTATTTTGAACACTGGGGTACCACAGGGCTGCATACTCAGTCCACTGCTTTTTACCCTGTTAACACGTGATTGCAATACAATCCTTCCTACTAATCATATGGTGAGGTTTGCAGATGATATAACCTTGGTGGGTCTCGTCACTGCAGATGATGAATCTCGCTATAAGGAGGAGGTAAATATGTTGACAAAATGGTGCAAGGCAAATAACATTTTGTTAAATATTAGCAAGATGAAAGAGATTATTACTGACTTTCGAAAAGGGCGTGGTCAGCATCAACCATTGATCATAGATGATGTTTTAGTGGAGGATGAGCAGTACCAAATTTTGGGGGGTATACATCATTGAGGACCTTTCTTGGACCACTAATACTAAAGCATTAGGGACGAAAGCTCAACAACGCTTATATTTTTTGCGTAAACTTAGACGTGCGGGGGCATCCACATTCATTCGGAGAACTTTTTATTGTGGTACTATTGAGAGCATTACTTCCAGTGGCATTAAAGTGTGGGGTGGAAATTACACTGTTGCCTGTATAAAGGCTCTAGAGTGTATTGTACAGCTGGGAAGATAATTGGTGTTCCACTTCCATCATCGCAAGATATATACTCTAAGTGACTTACTCGCAGAGCGACCACAATTGTGAATGACGGAAGTCATCCAGCACATTATATGTTTGAAGTCCTGCCCTCGGTACAGAAGCCTTCGTACACGCACTACTAGCTAGTCAAACAGTTTTCTTCCATCAGGCAGTGAGAAGGCTGACTTCTCTCCCACGAGTTCCATCCATCTAAGCTGTTAACTAGATAAGAATTGCGTTTTAAAATTGTATATGGTATCTAGCTTGCAGGATTTTTTTTAAACATTATTGTTGTGTTTTTTTATGGATTATGGAAATACTTTTTATTACTATTTGCTCTTAATTATTGTGATGTTTTTAAGCTATGAGTTTCACCGGGGGACGGCGAGAAAAGTAATTTTGATTCTTGGCATGTCTGTACATATGATGAAATTGACAATAAAGTACACTTTGACTTTACATGAAGAGCGATGGATTAGGCAAGAATAAACAGAAAGAAAGTTTAAAAATGACAAACTAGCAGACTTCACCCTCTGGAAAGCGATCTGTTTGGACCTCTGTTCTGAGCCGTTCTTTGTGAAACGATGAAAAAAAGCGAGACTGGTTCGTAGCGGATTATTTGCGCTACCTGCTGCTCACCATTAGAGAACCATTTTACTGACTGGAGTGGGAAACCACGTGCTTTTAACAAGAATCCCGCAAAGAGAGGAATTTAAAAAGAAAGTCATGGTTCAGGTAAACATAAATCACAGGATTCTCTGAAGGCCTTTAGAAAATGTTAAACCACTTCATGGCGGAGCTCTTTATGACAGTACAAGCAAACAGCTGCTATCTAAACTGTAGGGAGACAAAAAACAAACACCCACTGTAAAGAAAGAGTGAAATTACTCCCAGTAGGCCGTCTGTCAACAGATGAAACATGTCAAATTAAATTAACGCGTTCATTCAACACAATCTGGGTGAACTTTAAGTGACATTAATGGAGTAGAAGGCATTCTCACCTGGCTCAAAAGAATGTGAGGACGTGGGCAGAGACTGGAGAGACCTGCTGACCGTGGACTTCATGTTGTGGTTCAGGACTCGTGGCGAAGACCCCATCCAAGTAGGCTCCTCCCAGCTCCTCTTTCCCGTCTTCTCCATCTTGGTGGGGCTGGTGGGGGCGCTTATGGCACGGTCGTACATCTGCACAAACAGTGATGAAAGGTTTATTTTTCCTTCTCCGCAACATTTAGGTGCACAATAAACAAACCTGTCCACAAGCTGAGAGCTTCTCTTACTCTTTTGACAGCTAGTGTTGCGATGCCAAGCATGGCTGCCCCGCCCACCCCCAGCACCAGCTTGGCGTTGGACAGCATGAAGTCGATAGCTGTTCCGATGCCGTTGTCGTCCTTCTTCCCTTTGCGGTCTCCGTTGACTCCTGCCATCCTGCCACTGAAGAGACCAACAAAAGACTTCCTGTGTTCTGCTGGTCCAACACAAGCTGTGTGACGGAGCACCCACCTGAGAGACGCACCTCCAGACGGCCCGCGGTGCCTCCCCCCTTACATAAGCCCACCCAGTCCACTTTTGAGAAAGAACTGGCCCCTCTTCAGCGCCGCCTCCTTCTGCTCAGAAACAGTCAGGGCCTGGCAGCGGCGAAACTCGCGGGCCACGGCCCAGCGGTAGTAGTTCTTGTCGGTGTAGTGAAGGCGACGCCCGGCTCGGAGCAGCGCCCTGTAGAGCTCCAGCACGGCGCTGCGAGACCAGCTGCCCATCAGGGATCACACACGGAGGGGGGGGCGCCCTGGAACCTGGACAAACAACGCATGGCACGAAGAACATCCAATTAAACGAGAGAAATTGAATTTCTTATTGCTGAAAGCAGCTGAATGGGTTTCATGGCTGAACTGTTAACGCAAGTTGAACTTGAACAGCTGACGTGTTGTAGGCAGGAAATAAAAGCTGAAAGCAGAAAAATGGCAGAAATGAGCAGAAGAAGGTGAAACAGGCTGAACAGACAACATAACAAGAAGAGAGTAAAGAAGAAAGATGAAATTAGCAGGAAAGTAGCTGAAAAAGCTAAAAAAAATAAATAAAGAAGCTGAAATTAGCAGGAAGAAGCTGGACCAGAACAAAAGCTGAAATGAGCAGTAAAAGGTTTTAAACAGCTAAAGGGTTTGAAGGATGTTCATTTTCAATGGGAAAAAAAACATGGCCGACACAGCTAAATAGACAAGACACAGAACAGAAACTGTGGAACAAAATACGCCAAATTAATGTTCATAAACTAAAGTTTCTTATTAGTGAATGGTTTATAAACAATCACAACTGAAGAGGAGCGTGGCTTCATGTCGGATCAACCAACCATTACCTACAGACTCAACGAAAAATAGTTTTTATACAAAGACGGGAAGAAAAAGGGATTTTTTTTACTTTACGACACTTTTATGATCATATTTGTTCTGGAACCACAGAGAGAAAATGTTTTGGTCTATTTTAGTTCAAAGCACTTCGACGAACAAAAAGACATTAAATATTCTCCATGAAAATGGTTATTTTCAGTCGAATAACAAAATGTTGATTTTTATGGTCTCAATTTGAAAGTTTTGTTTAAGAACAAAGAGATGACAGTCCAAGGGTCAGGTCTGGCACTCAAGCTGTATTCAGCTCATGATTGCATTAATTTAACATTTTTTAAAATATTAACATTGATTCATAAAACTGTATTTTAGCAGATGGATTATCTGAACACCTGCCACACATGATCAGGTCTTTAATGTTGTTGTTTTTTTACTGTTTATTGTAAAAACAAAGTTTTCAGGTACTGAATATTAGCTTGTTATTTGACTTATTTAGTGCTCCAGATGTTCCTGCTTCTCTTGTCTGTCAGTAACACCATGAACTGGTGATCAGGTTAGAGAAGAGGACACTGAGCGAAAACAGCAGTCAAAATGAAGAAAGACAAACCTTCAGACAGGTTTAGAAAGCAGCTGGTCAAGAAAACAACATTTTAAGAAGTCATGCTTATGAGCAGAAATGGTGGTGAAGCTCCCAGGGAACGAAGCTAACACGCCCAGCTCAGATATCCAGAATCTTCCTTTAATTTGTGTAGTAGCGCTTTAATCAACGCTTCCTGTCGAGTTTTAATTTTTAGTTAATCTACAGAGCTCTGTAGAAAATGGCTGACCCGACAGAAAGTCACACATCTCTCACCAGCCTGTTAGCTTCCTGCGGCAGGTAGTTAGCGCTGACCTTAACTTCAAACAGCCTCGTGGACAAAAACACTTCCGCAAAACGTCCGAGCACCGACCGGAAGCAGCAACACGAGTTAACGCAGCACGAGACAGCACGAGACAGCTTACGTTTCAAACCACGGACTTTTATCTTTAGAAGGAAACCGAACCGGTTTCTTGCCGGGGTCAGATGAAACGGTGACAACCGGAAACAAATAGTTTCAACTCGATTACTACTTCCGGGTTACGACGGCATTTAATTTTAAACGCATTTTACTTTATTTTAATTTTACGCATTTTACTTTATTTTAATTTTAACGGAAGGAATGGACTTCCGGACACTTTTAATTTACTTTTTTTTTTTAATTGATTCACCATGTCCTGGATGACTGAGAAGATCTACACAAACAAAAACACAAGTTTTTGTTTATTTCTTTTTTTCTCTCTTTTCATCCTAATGAGAAAAAAGGTGTATATATATATATATATATATATATATATATATATATATATATATCAAGGTCAAGGTGTCTATTGTCATTCACATCACATGTGATACATGAGGTGGAACGAAACTATGTACACAGGGTCCCAATTACATCCAACAAAAATACAAATTGTAAAGAAAAACAGTATCCAAGACATGAATTAAGAAATACGCAAAAATAAGAATATACTAAGCACTAATAGTACAAAACAATGTGTCAAGCAACAGAGTCTGAGTGAGCAGATGAGGACGAATGAACACAGCATCATGAAATAAATCAGCAGCATGAGATTAGCATCATGGATAATCAGCAGCACATATCAAGCAATCAAGTGGCATTACAGTGATTTTTCACCTTTTTTTTCACAGTATTTTTCACAGTGATTATTCTGGTTAGATATTCATGAGTCTAACAGCCTCATGATAGAAGCTGTTCCTTAGTCTAGTGGTTCTACACTTAATGCTCCTCAACCTTCTGCCTGAGGGGAGCGTGGCAAAAAAGTGTGTGTGCTGGGTGAGTGGGGTCCTTCATGATGCAGGTGGCCCTCTTCCTGCATCTAGAGGTGTAGATGTTTGTGATGGTGGAGAGACTGACTCCAACATCTTCTGTGCAGCCTTCGCCACTCTCTGCAAAGCTTTTCTTTCTGCAGCTGTGCAGCCTCCATGCCACACGTTGATGCTGGAGCACAGGATGCTCTCCACTGCACACCTGTAGAAGGAGGTGAGGACTGAGCTTCCCAGTCCAGTTCGTCTCAGCCGCCTGAGGAAGAAGAGTTTCTGATGAGCTTTCTTGATCAGGCTGGCGGTGTTGTTGCTCCAGCTCAGGTTGTCATTCAGGTGCACACCCAAGTACTTGTAGCTGGAGACCACTTCCACCATATATATATAGTCCACCATTCTCCTTGAAAAACTGAATAAATATGGCATTAGAGGATTAGCACTAAAGTGGGCATCCAGTTATTTGAATAATAGGAAACAGTTTGTACAGGTAAACATGTATTTATTAGATAAATAAGGAGCAGACTTAATAAGATTTTATCTTCATCTGCTGCCTTTCATTTTATTTTTGTTTTCAAATTACATACATGTAAATTGATATGTATTCTTATTATTATAAAATGAATAAATAAATAAATAAATGTAAGATCAGAATTTTGTGTTAATGGATGTGGAGTTCTCCAGGGCTTAGTGTTGGGACCACATTTGGTTATTTTGTATGTGAATGGTCTGGTTAGTGTGTCAGGGCGTTTTAAGTGTGTTTTATTTGCAGATTATACCACATTTTTTTGTTCGGGTGAACGGATGTTAGAAATGATTCAGGCAGAATTTGTAAAAATACAAACTTGGTTCCAACTTAATAAGTTATCGTTAAATTTGGGGAAAAAAAATACAAACTCTATGCTATTTAGTAACAGAAATACAATTATCGAAGTCCCATTTAAAATTGACAGTATTGAAATTCATAGAGTTAATTAAATACATTTTTTGGGTGTCGTTATTGTTGAGAAGCTGACATGGAAATCTCGTGTAAATTACTTAAAAATAAAAATAGCAAAATCAATTGCATTACTGTATAAAGTAAAAGTTTTTTAATGACAAAGCTTTGTATATATTGTATAATGTAATGATTGTTCCACATTTAATCTATTGTATTGAAGTTTGGGGAAAAGCATGCAAAACAATTACAAATCTTATTTTCATTTTACAAAAAAAAGCTATAAGAATTAGTTGGAAGTACTATGGTCACCCAACAAATATATTATTTCATCAGTTGAAATTATTACAGTTCTATGATTTGGTTGAATATGGTCTATGATTTGGTTTGGGGAGTGGTGGCGCAGTGGTTAGAGAGGTGGGCTTGTGATCCGAAGATCGCCGGTTCACGCCCCGGCCCCGACAACATCAAAATTGTGGGTGGGGTAGGTGAAACACCCACACTTGCCCCCACCCTCATTCGCCCCACTCTAGGCCCATGAGCGAGGCCCTTAACCCCACCATCTGCTCCCTAAACAGGTCTCTCTTGAAAATGAGTTCTCGTGGCTCAATGAGACTAACCTGTATAAATAAAGGCTAAATGAAAAAAAAAAATAGTATTTTATAAGTCATGTATAAAGCTCATAAAAAAATATTACCCCCAAATGTTCGCTTAAATTAGTTAAAAGGAGTCATTATAACCTTAAGGAAATGGAAATATTTGTAAAACCTCCATTTAGAACTAGTCTGAAGGAGCTGCGTTGATTCAGGGAGTAGGATTGTGGAATTGCCTTGACCATAAAAATTTCTAAAACAATTTATATGTTTAAAAAGATGATTAAGGTAAAATTGATAGGAAATTATGATATCATGTGAAGGATGCCTTATGGATTTTGTTTTCGCTTTGGAGAAGTTCAAGCCTGAGTTGTTTGTTTATTTATTTATTTTTAATAAGGGGCAGATATTATAAGAAATTTCTTCTTCTTTTTGCACCCTTTTCATTCTGTTTTTTTTTTTTCTTTTTGATGAATTTGTTTTGTTTCTTTTAAATGAATGAATAAATAAAATTAAATAAAAATATATGTTTAAATAGCTATAGATATGTAAATAGGTTTATTTATTTATTTATACTGTAGTCAGTGCTTACCTCCATTAAATAAAGCGCTGATAAAACAAATCCAAAAAAAAGTTATTTTAGGTGTGTTTTAAAATTTCTTATTATTTTTATTTTTATTAACTTAAACAAATTCTAAATTCTGCTTTTTTTTTCCCTTTTTTTAAAATCTCCAATGGGGAAATTCTCTGCATTTTTCCCGTTGCACATAAACACACACGTGAAGCAATGGGCTGCCATCCAAGGCTCCCAGGGAGCAGCTGGGGGGCACAGAGTGGGGCAGGTGAGGGTGGAGGCAGGTGTAGGTGTTTTACCTTTTCCACCCACATTTCGATGATGTCGGTCCGGGGAGTTGACCGGCGACCCTCCAATCACAGGCCCACCCTCTCTAACCTCTGTGCCACCACTCCACTAAGGATGGCAACAGGCTGCTGCCAATTTAAAATGTTTATTTGACAGCCCTCTGTGTTGGGGTTCGCTGCAGCTGCCACTATACCAAATTTCAGATGAATAGCTCTGAAAAAGCCTGAGTTATCATATTTTTTTCTTTTTAGCTAAGGCGGCCATCTTGGATTGTTTTATTTGGATGCGGTATTTGATGGGAAACATTCTCAGCCATCACCACACCAAACTTCAGCTCAATATCTCTACAATTGGCTGATTTATAGTATTTTTCCTTTTTAGCTCAGTTGGCCATCTTGGATTTTTGACTTGCATTCAGAGACTATAAGGGATCGTTCTCAGCTACAAATAAACCAAGTTTCAACAGAATAGCTCTAAAAATGGGGGAGTTATCATATTTTTTCCTTTTTAGCTAAGGCAGCCATCTTGGATATTTGATTTGCATTAGGAATATATAACTCACTCTCAGCTACAACCATACTAAATTTCAGCTCAATATCTCAAAGATTGACTGAGTTGGAGATACACTTTGTGGTTCGGGCCTCACTAAAGTTGATGGAAGAATAAGATATAAAGTTAAGAAAGTTGGGTGGATAATAGGTGCACTGCCTATACGAGGCAGTCCCCAATAAATAAGTGCAACTGTGTCACAATCAGTCCAAAAATATGCAGTATCCTCATAACTATTTGTTTTTATACCTTTTTCAGTAATTATTAGCAAAAAACTTTACTGAGATGCATACGAGTAAAATAAATCAGAACAGCCAGAACATGGTTCAAAACTGTGTCAAATTAGTGAATAAAGAATATTTTTATAGCTATTCTCAAGCATAAATAAATGGCAGGTGGTCAGACACTGAGCAGCCAGTCTGTGTAAATATTAGGGCACACACAAAATAGTTTTTTTGTCTTTCAGCTTTTTCCTCTTCTTGGATTGCCACAGTGAGTCATCCTCCTCCACCTCACCCTGTCCTCGCTCCACCTACCTTCATGTTCTCTCTAACGGCTTTTTTTTTTTTTTTTGTAGCTTGGAGCTATCCTGGTATATCTGTATACATTGCATTTAATATTTGCCTCCATGTGTACATACAGCAACAGGAGCTGCCTTACCTTTCATTAGCAAGGCTTGGTCTTGAATTTGCATAATCTGTAAGTGGAAAAATGTGCACAACAAGGCTCCTGGACATCCACCCCACATATTTACAATGTGTACTAGTACCATGTGTAAAAAAAAAGAAATAAACACATGTAATTGTTAATTTAGGAATAGTTATTTAAACAATGAGTTATCAATGCAAATATATTAAAATGTTATTTAAAAAAGATATGATCATCATTATGTTGCATCAGAAACTTTTATTGAATCAAATGAAACAACTTCCAACATTACATAACCAGCTTTTTACTCAACAACCAAAAAAAAAAATTTTAATTAACTTTCACTAAGTAAACAGTTCTCATTTGAACAGTTGTTACAGATTACATTATTTATTCTGCTTAAAATGCTGTTCAACAAACTATACGTGTTAGTGAAACTCACTACTGTGATTACGTTAAAAAAATGTATCCTGATGAATTTGTAATCTGATATTTATTTGGAATTACCTCATCAAGATATCTTTCGATTATAATCAATATGACTTTAATAACAATAATTTACATAAAAAATTTACTGAAACAGAAAAACAGAGAAAAACATTTCCAAAACTGATTATAATATGAAACTGAATGCTTCTTAGTT